GAAAGATCATAAATTATTGAAAATTCATCAGCATAGTAGTGATAGTCCTTGTGAATTAGCTTTAGAAAAATTAATATTTAAAATAACTATTAAAATTTAAATAAAACATCAATAAAAATGAATTATATTCTTTGTACCAATTGTAATAAACCTCTTTCAAATGAAGAAAATGTTTACAAATTCAGAATATTATTGTTAGGATCAACAGTAATAGGAGGAATTTTAGGATGCGCCACATTTCCTTTATTAGGGTTTGGTTCATCTGGTATTTCAGCTGGTTCATATGCAGCTTCTTGGCAAGCTTCTATTGGTTCTGTTGCAGCTGGATCTTTATTTGCTATTTTACAATCTTTGGGAGCTAAAGGACTAGGTATACTATTATTTGGATCATCTACAGCCGCAATAAGTTTATTAACTCCTGTAGCAGCAAACTTAAATTGGTGCACATGTAATCAAAATGTTTCCTAATTATATTATTAAATATTTTTTTTATTACTACCCGATAAAATCTTAAGTAACTTCTATATAATAAAGTTAAAGGACTTATTTAGATGGTGTGTGTGAGTGAGATTGTGTGTGGAAAGAACTGCGTGCATTTGAGATGATTATAGGGAAATAAGATAAATATTTAATATAGGATAGAAAAAGGTAAAGCAGACAAGTTAAAGGCAGAGTAAATGAAAGTGAAGGAATGGATAAAATAGAAAAGTAAGAATTCGAAGATATAATTGAGTAAGAAGATCCCAAAGAGTTAGAGGATAAGGAAACTGGAAAGCAGGCTAGGAGGATGGTGAAAAAAATAGTTATGTTTAGAATCAGAAGTTAGATTAGTTGGACTTCAGCGGCAAGAAATGAATTAAAGGAAAGAAATAAATTGAAAGATTTGTAATAGAATTGATGGGATAATAGAAATTATTATTTGCAGAAAATAATGAAACGTACTCGTACTTTGTGTAGCTGAACATGAGAGTAAATCTCGATTTTTATTATAGATATATCGATTTATTATTGATACATCGATATATCGATGTATCAA